ATGGTGGATAGTGTCCAAATTGGGCCCACACAAACCTTATCAAGTCCCAGAATGGTATCGGCGTACCATTTGTAATATTAAATACCTTTTTATGATTGAAAAAAAAAGAATTAAACATTCGTTTAATAACTAAATATTAAATCATAAAATGATTTTTATTATACCTCTCCTGCAACCGGACTTCCATCAAATAATTTATCAGAAGCCAATAAATGTGCGTGAGCAACGTTTTCAACATAAGTCCAATCAACTAAATTGGAATTTTCGCCGATTTGAAATTTTGATTGACCTTGTTGCATAATTTTGATTGCGGATGGAATCATCTGTGTGTCATTTGGACTTGAGTGATAAAAGCAATAGCAAAATGATTAATAAAATAATAATAAAAATATTAAAAGTTTTTCTAATTGTGGACCTCAGTTTTTTTAAACTCTGTAATTAGTAAAACAGTACATATATTCACCCGAAAATACCACATGGACGAATGGCACATGTAAGAAGGCCGTTATTTCCATTCGCTTCGAGCACAAGCCTTTCACCTTTTGCCTGAAGCAGATGATCAGTCAAAAAAACATACGTAGTAACAACAAAAATAAAATTTATAATGATACCTTTGTTTCATTATAGGCATCCATATGTGTTTCAGGAAAAGGTGCGGTTTCATCCGCATTAATTATTTCGTTAATTCCATCGTAAACGACACTTGAACTACTAGTATACACCAATTTTTTAACACCATTAGCAATGCAAGAAGCGATTACATTTTTTGTACCGTCAACATTAACCTTCCAGAACAATTCTTTAGAAATTACACCTGTAGGCGGTGGAGAAGCTGTGTGAATCACGCTCGTAGCGTTGCTTCTTCGAATGGCTTCATTAATGTCATTGTAATTACTAAGGTCACCAGTATAATGTGTAAGTTCTTTATCAAAATACCGCTGTACAATGTCAAAAACAGCTATATTTTTTTCGCCACGCTTAATAAGCATTTCTACGATCCATCGCCCAACGAAACCCTCAACTCCTATTACTAAATAATTATCTGACATGTTTTG